TATATATATAATACACACAGTATATATATATATAGCTGGAAAGTCCAATGAGCCACATGTTGCAGAACATTTGGACCCCAGTCCATTGGTGCTTAGTTAATTTCTCTTCTGGATCATTTTCTGTTAACCTAAGAGGTTAATCCGCAGTGGATCAGCTCTTTCAGAAAATCTCAGACACCAATAAATATATTGGCAGAACCTTGCAGAGTCTGACACTAGACGTGTTTTAGCTTTCATTTTTTAAGCATTTTGACAATCTGGTGAATTTGCTGGTGTGTCTTCTGTGCTGCTGAAAATTTTGCTGGTAAATAACTGACAATATGTGTTGTTATTATTAATGTGTTCAGTGTGCCTACCTTTTACAGTAACAGTAAAGGAATGTGTTGCATTCCCATGACTGTTGTGAGCCCTACATTTGTACTCCCCTTCATCATCTTCAGTGATGCTCTCAAAGTGAAGCCAGCGATTAAAGGTTTCAATTCTGGCACTTGTGGTCTTGAGATCACCATCCGTTTTCTCCCATTCCACCTTGGGTGTCGGCCTGTGGGGAACAGATAAGGATGAGAGGGAGACTGGCAGAGATCTGATCAGATCAACTCATCAAAGGAAGTAGATATTAAGAGATACAGATAAACAGGGAATGAAGAGGAAAACAATAACTATAATAGGAATTATAAAATTGGAGCTTATAAGGGGGCAAACAGAGTAAGTCTTACGAAGAGATTCATGGAAACTTTGTGTCGCCAGATTAAATGTAAATTTCCCAATGATTTGCCTCTGCTATGAGTTTTTATATTAATCCTCCTGGTGGTGAAAAAATTTAAAGTGGTATTTAAGAAAAGCATTTACAGCCCTCACAGAGTTAAAGTATTTTTCTGAAAGTAGAACAGCTTGCAGTCAAAGTACCGAGTACGGAGTCAGGGGTGCAAAAGAGGAGTAAAAAAGGAAAAGGAATCTAGAGGCCTATGATTCACAGGAGCCAAGAGAGGTCCCTAATACAATACAATAATGACAAAATATATATATATATATATATATATATATATATATATATATATATATGTAAATACAGTAGAGATACAGAAGGAGATTAGAATATTAAATAGCAACAATCACATCGCCTCATATTTGTATTTTTTTCACCACAAACAGTCGACAGTGTTTCACTAAATTCTTGCTGTTGTCAACAAATGAAGTTGCAAAAGGAGACCTGACTCAGCAATGTTGTGTCATGTCATTCCTTGATATACTATCACACAAGTTTACCTATTGGAAGTAGGAGTCACCAACCATGGTTTAGCTTTAAATCTCCACAGTGGTTTATTTATGGGACCTAATACATTTAGTTCATACAGCATAATATACCATATATCATACCACTTTACTTTTGTCTAACGTCTATCGATGATTGTATGATTTCTATCTATTTATTAGCTTTTATTGTTAACTTGTCGCATCCTCTTGAATAGATAATAATGTTTGAGCTACACTGACTCATAAAATGCAGCAAAGCATTTTGTCTTTGATCATATTTCCTGCTGAATTTGTATTCATTTCTCCACGGAAGGGGGTCATTTGTATTTAAGTTTTGTTTTCTGAGGTAATTTAAGGAGGATTTTAAGCAAATAACAATGGACGACTTAATGAATGTATCAATAAATCAGTTTAAAAAAGAAAATCTATAGGAAACCTCTACTTTAAAATACTACCCTAACAAAACTATCTGTGATCCTTACAGGCCTTTAGGGATGCATTCGAGGGTGAGACGTTGACCCCTGAGGGCCTGCTTTACAGTATGGGAACCTTGGGGCTGGAGGAGATGTGGTTTTTTTTCATGCATAACATCGTTACCTGGAAAGCAATAGAGAGAGAAGAGTTCATAAGTAGACATTCACACTGGTCTGTTCTTTATTTAAGCTATGAGATCATTGCCAAATAATTTTATTTAAAAGATAATTAAATGAACATGGTGAAATAGGTCGTTATAAAAATAAAATGTGTCTACAAACAGCACCTTGACTGACTCTACCAAGCTTCTCCTTCTGGTTTACAAAGAAGCAACACTTGCATAATGCTGAGCTTTCTAACTATACTGAACTTGTGCACATGCTAAAAAAAGCAGAGACCTCCACTGAGCAATAACTTTCATCAACAGAAGTGTTTCCTAAAAAATGTACCCTTTATGCTCCTTCTTGCAATGACAAAAAAAGCTGTATTCCCTCATCTGCTGTTGACCTGATTTCATCCCTAACACACATGTATGTGAAATTAGATGTCAGGCTGCTACAGACTTGCACAGATTTCATCAAGATAAAACAGATGCAGTAGTGTGTATTTGTGGGGGTGGATGTGTGCTCTCACTTGACACGACGTTGAGTTTCGCAACAGTCACAAGGATAACAGTCCTGGCTTCCTCATATTGAGCATAGCAGTTGTAGTCTTTACGGCTGTCGCTCTTTAGAAGATTTGCAAAATACAAATTCCCATCCAGGCCAATAATAACTCTGTCAGTCTGGTCGATGTGTCGCATTTCTGTGGAAACCAAGCCAAATAGAGTAGTCAAAGCGTAAGAGTTCAGCTTTACAATTTCTAAAATAAAAAATATCTCTGATGTGAGATTCAGAATTTAGTGTAGAGGAAAAGAACCTGAGCAGTGAGAAGGAAAGAATAAATAAATACATAAAAGCATAAACGCAAACTGGATGAAATACTGACTTTTTCCCATCCAGTAGACCTGAGGAGTAGTTGACTTCTTTGGAGGGTTGCAGGTCAGGATGATGCTCTCTCCTACGAATGCGGTCTTGTGGAGTTCATGTTCTTTTGTTACAAGCGGAACAGCTGAAACAAAAATACAACAGCTTTAATAGTTTATTTTATATGCATAAGGGACAGATATATGTACTTTTGAAATATTTAGTGTTGGTGTGTGGTTTATCCTCAACTAAAGAGGGCTGTTTGGCAGTGACTCAGAGATCAGTGATAAGAAAATTGACTTTTCTGAGAAAACTTTTTTACTAGTTTCTCTCTTTCATGCAGCCGTGTTCTTCAACCTGGGAGGTGTTCTCTGTTCAGCAGAATCCAGTACCGTGTTGCTACAAAGCGGTACCCTTTTCTTGAAAGGCCGGTATGTTTGACTGGAGGTATTTTCAAGATCTGTCAGTTCTGATTTCTTTCTGGGAAAAATTAAACCTATTTTCCTTCCCTCAAATAAAGGTCACTTAAGGCAAAAAAAAAAAAATGTTTGGTTTGTATCTTACTGTAACCCTTACTAGGCTTGGGGACATACTGGACAATTTGTCTAATTTCTCCAAATACTCTAAATTTAGGCCCTTTTATGTCATCAGCTGCCATAATGTCTTAGTTTCCCCTTTTTTCAACTGAAAGGAGCATTTTGCCTGATTCCTCTTTTTGTAAATCCAGCAGACATTTTTTCTACCATTCTTCTGTCCCACAGAAGGCTTGGTGCTTTGCTGTTTTCCTGGATGGATTAAGTAACACTGCTAATGCTGCCATAAAACTCCAAAGGTTCTTGTTCTGCTATTATTATTCTTTCTCCACCTTAGAAAGTGCTCCTTGTTCTGTTTTGTGTTTTTTTTATGTTTTTTTAACTTCTCAACCTCTAACCACTTGTGCCAGATGGTCACTCATCCAGGGTTTGGTTCTCTTCTTCTTCTTAAAACAGACTGGTTGCTCTCCACTATCTCCACATGTTCTGCCAGAGATTTAGATTCCTGCAAAGTTTGATGTAATCACTTGTGTTGATTGTATGATAATACCAGAATGGACTGAAGACATTTTTTATTTAATTTGGGCAGAAATGAGGGCTGCAAAGTGAGGAAGTGGGTAGCACTGCTGTCTTGCAGCTAGAAGGTTCTGGGTTCGATTCATGGGGTCTTTCTGCATGTTTGCATGTTCTCCCTGAGCATGCGTGGGTTCTCTCCGGGTACTCAGGCTTCCTCCCACAGTCCAAAAGACTGTTAGACTCCTTAAAGTCTCCTTAGGTGTGTGTGTGTGTGAATGGTTGTTAGTCTCTGTGTTGCCCTGCGATGAACTGGCGACCTGTCCAAGGTGTACCACCTCTCTCACCCATTGACAGCTGGAGATAGGCACCAGCACTCCTCGCGACCCCAATTTGGATTAAGCGTGTTAGAAAATAGATGGATGGGCAGAAATGTATTCTGTAAACAACTGGATGTAAAATAGAAAAAATAACTAATACTTAGGACATTCAGTGTCTGTGTTGATTCAGATATATTTAATCCTTATTGCTCTTATTATTTGATCCCCTCTAATCACTTTGTAATTAAATAAATTTTAATTGCTGTTTTGTTTGTTATTTTTATACAAATTTTTACATAACAAATAATAACTCATAGTTTTTAATAAATTATTTTTTTGTTAATCAATTACTGGTAAGCATATATTTCACTTTTTGTGTAGTTTTATCTCTCAGACCCTTTAAAAACTGCCATAATGTTTCAGTAAATTTGGAATCAGGGTGTACTTTTGCGTTTGCGGTAGACTGAACTGATTTTGATGAATAAACCTAACTGTACTGTGAGTTTGAAGTAAACAAAACAAAAAAATCCAACAAAAAAAGGCTAAATTTTACTGCTCCATGACATATATAGGGTTAAAACATGAACCTCCCATCACCGGTATTGTAACCTCATGGCTGAATGACGAATCTGTTCCTAGGAAACGGTTTCCAGAGCAACAAGAGATGAGAGAGCAAAACTGGTTTTCCAAGTCTAAGACCATGGTAGCATAGACGTGAAGAGATTCTCTTCACATGAATCATCACCTGTCATACATTTTTACTATGCTGAGATTTACTCTGGTCTATTTTTACAGTGTGTATGAATATGTGTTAGACTCACAATCTACTATAACCTTTGCAGTTTGTGTCACAGCGGTTCCCTTGTTATTGGCGGCAAAGCATTGGTAGATGCCTGCAAATGAATCCAGGGGCATATCTTCATGTTCTGAGGCGTCAACAACACTGGACCCTGTCTGCTCTGGACCAAACTGTTTCCCATCCTTTTCCCAGCGGATCCTAAAGACAGAAAGAGAGGATTGTTTTAAAAACAGGATTACCGGGAGTGTAGAAATGCAAGAATAACATAAATTATATTCATTATTTCAATTAGAATTGGTTCTAACAGTTGGAGGTTTGCGAGATGCAATCTGGCAATTTCTTGATAAAATAACCACAACTGAACACAAGAAAATATTGCTGAATGGTCATTTATATTACTCAGAAATTTGTAACTTTACACTTGTATATTTCAAATGGACAATTTTCTCCCACTTTTTATGAGACTTTGTTTGCCCTCTTACTGAACCACAATCTCTCCCAAGAGGACAGGCAAATGAAAAATGCACACTTTGAACATGTGATTAGTATGGAAGAGGATTAGGGCTACTGGAAAAAAAAAAAGTTTACTGATTTTAAAATTTTATTTCAGTTTAGTACAGGAAAAAAGTCAGAATTCTGACTTTTTTCCCGTACTAATTCTGAGAATTCTGACTTTCATCTCAGAATTCTGACCTTTTTCCCGTACTAATTCTGAGAATTCTGACTTTAATCTCAGAATT